TTTTCCTTTGCTGGATCCATAAAAAAGTTGAACCCATATTCTAGAAGTTCAGCTACTTGCCAAAATTTGAATGTGGAAAAGTCGTGGGTCCAGAGAAATGTTGCAAAGATGAATGTATTTAGGATGGTTCGAATTTTCTTTTTTGTCATTTGGTTAATGTATCCAATATTATGCTTTTTCATGTAATTGTCGTGGAATTCTTTTTCAATAGCTTCATATTCCACTTGATGTTTTTCCTTGATAGCTTCAGTCTTTGCAAAAGATCAGAAAAAGGTTCTGTCTCAGTGCTCAATCTTTGTTAGGATGGCTTTGGTGGTAATCAGGGAAGAAATCCAGGAAAAAGTTTTGAGTTTGATAAACAATAATACTATATCTTCTGGGTTTCTTTTGCAAGAAATGATATTATCATAGGATTCTTTGATGGCTTCTTGTTTTGTTATATTTAGGCTCTCTTGAGCCGGAGGACTTTCTACTGTAGGCTGGGCCTCTTGTAACTGTATACCTGCGGTAGTGGAAAGCAGATTATCCTTGAAAACTTGCTGAGTTTTTTCACTGTCTACTTGGTCTGCCCATAATTGGGTATTGATCGCATCATCAGTGGAGTTTCTTGTATCATTTGTGTAATGCTCATCTATTTCCATATCTGGCTGGTCTATGGGGTCTGTGTCATGGTGGTGATTTGTGTATCGATTCATATTGGGGAGAAGATTTCCTTGGAAATTTTTTGTTGTATCAGAAGGATCATCTTGTACTACTGGAGTATTAGGAGGGGGGCCGGTGTTTCCTTTTTTCTAAGAGAAAAAGTGCCAAGGTTGTCATCAGTAAATATGGAAATTCAGTTCCAAGGCCAATGGAGCTTGTAGTTTAAGGTGTTTTTAATCACTTCACAAACAGCAAGCTCTCTGTCATCTTTTTCAAGGTGAAATCTTGTTTGATGGTTCATAAAGGCATTCAGTGTTTCAATATCAAGGTGTTTCATTTTCTGGGTGGAAACTTGGAGAGAGGGAGGGGATACTCTTGTTTGTTTCTTAAGGAAATTGATTTGGATGACTTCAAGATCACCAGAGTTGATGTTGCAGGTGGGAATTAGCCATGATTCAGGACAGTTTAGAAGAAATGGGATGGTAGTTTTATGAGCAGGCTTTGTTAAAAATACTTTTGAAGTTTTGTTTTGTTTGTATACTATTGAAACTTTTGGTATTGAAGCATCTGAGAGTACAATGTCTAGTATTGAGAACTCGTCTTGCAACTTAGAGGGGCTCCTGGGAGAAGTCCCAGTCGCTTTGGCTTTGTTTCTGGTTAAAATTTTGTTTTATTGCCTTATAAGGAAATTTTTTTCAATTGAAGATTTTTGCAGAAAGAGTTTTTTTTTTATAAAAGCCTTTATTAATTTTTTTATTTATTTATAATTCTTTTTATAAAAAATCTGACTTTTATAATAAAAAAAAATTAAGTAATATTTTTTTTATTTATCACAAAAAAAAAAAAAAAAATGGTTTAAAAAAATTAATAGTACTATATTATAATTCAGCATTTAAAATTCCTTTTTCTTAAGGCAAGTTTATAAAAGTTTTTGTGATAAAAGAACAAATGAATGAAAATCAAAAACTTTTTTACTCATCATTTCTATTTTTTTTTTTTTTTTAATTTTTTATTTGCCTTAATTTGATTTTAAAATTTTTGAATAACATAAATCTTATTAAAGATCATTAATGAAAATAAAAACATTATTATCAAGATATAAACAAACATCAATTATGCAGTAATTATATACTGTATACCAATAATATTATAGATAGCTAGAAAATTTGATTAATATTTATTTTTTTCAATCAAATTATTTATTAATCATCAAAGATTCTTCTGCTATTATTATCTTAATTGGACAAAACTTTTAGTAATGATCTTTTCAAACTAGATACTATAAGACTTAAAAACATAGAAAATTAGATTAATGCGAATAAGTTTCCCAGATGACTAGGAAAAAAAAAATAAAAGATCTTGCGATAGGATATATTTTATTGAAAATGATTGTAAGAAATGAATTTTTTAAAAAAGCCGAATTATATTTCTTTTTCATTGATTTTTCTTGTAATACGCTGATATATCCCCCCCCCTTTTTTTCAACCTCTTGATGGAATGTACAATAGTGGCAACTTGCTGGCTGCGATGTTTTGGATTAAGAGGGTTTTAATTCAAAATCCACTATACAGTATCATTTCCAAAGGTAAAACTTTGAGACTTTTTAGTGCCAATGATGAGTTACTGTAATTTAATATTTAGCTACAGTATGTACCATGCCGGTCGAATAAATATTGTATGTACTCGTGTATTCCTTTGATTAATAAACTACTATCTAACCTGACCTGACCGCGAGTAATGCGAAACATAAAAGTTTTTAGAATGCAAAAAATTAAACGCCGATATCGAGCACATATTTTACGGTAGGATTTTAATTATTAAATAGATAAATAAATCGCGCGTACTGTATATAATAGCGATAGGAAAAAATTACGTATGCCGAGGTGCCCAGATGTTCTCGAAAATAATATACTAAATCTCGAATAATCTGGTTTGATGTCTTATCGCAAGTTAAAAATTTTTAAAAAATGCAGTTTGTTGCAAACGCAGTACATTTATTTACGGTGATTCTTTATTCACATCTTTCTTTTATGTGGAGTCCAAAACTCTTTTTTTTTCACGTATCAAGCTGTTAACGATGGCGCGAATCAGATGTTGTTTCCGAATAACGAAAATTTCCTTCGCTAGCTTATTTTACGAAGGAGCAACGAAACCAGGAAAAATAAGTTTACGAATTTGCTGCGGTGAGTTTGGCCGCTTTCTCTTTAATCTGTTGACACTTGAAGCGAGATTGTCACGTGTCCCCGCGCCCGTCACGCTCCACACAAATCAACTGGGCGATCAGAAAGAAGAAAAGAAGAGCAGAATAACCGAGATCCTGACCAGAGGATAGAATTGTTTGATCGAGGGCGAATGTTGGTAGCAGTGGGAATGAAAGAAAAATAAATGGTCTATGATACGAATGGAATAAACGATAACAATGAATGTGAAAAGTCTATGAGTAAAAATATAGAAAAATACATAAAGTTTTTTTTTTTTTTATGTACAACTGAGGGGTGAAAGGTATACATTATAAATTATTATATATTGGAAAAGATAAAAGTATTTGCAATAAAAAATGGGTGAAAAAGTATAAATGATAATAGTAATATATCGTGATGAATGATCTATATATATATGTATATGGTTTTTTTTAGATCGTTGTTTCATAATATACGGAGAATCTTGTGAAATGCTATATGATTTAAAAAAGTACAGTTGCTATGTATAAAATTGAGAATGGCGAGTGGTTCACTTGCGTGGAAGAGCTATTTGCGGGTGATGCGTGAATGTGGTAGGTGATGATGAGTGGTCGTCAAACGAGACTATGAAAATCGTCATAGAGGTCAATTTTCCGTTCCAGAGAGGTAGGGAAAATTCATGGTGCTGCACTGGTATCTTCGACACTGACGACACTCTCGAATTTCACCTGAATTTCTACAGAATTTCTTATTCGTCGACGATCTTCGACATCGTCTAATCCGTTGATCACAAAGGTTTCGATCTCACAGTTTGGACTCAGTACATTGTTCTCGTATGATCCTTGCATGGGTGTTGGTGGGCAGATGTTGACCTCCGGAAGACCAACTTTATCACTTTCGCCTTCAAGCTCGACGTTCGGGTAGACAGACAGAAAGTCATTAATGTGAGACACATCAGCGTAAAAACCCTTCTGCGATAATGAAGACAAATCATGGTCCTTCAATGATGAGGCGCTTGAATTTAGTGGTCCAAATGTGTCGGAATCATTCAGCACCATTCCCTCGGTTATATCGTGCAATCCCCCGCATACGTATCCTTCTAAAGTTTCATGGATTCCTCGATTATAATCTCGCTGCTGGTAAATTGGCGCCGGCTCCTCGTTCAGGTCATCATAGTCGTTACTCACATTACCCATGGTCCTGTTGTCCAATCCGTCGATTCTTATCTTTATTCCACTGGTCAGATCGAACTGAGCTTGCTCCGTGGGTGTGCGATGTCCATTGACGTAAAGAAAGTCGAAGGCACCCTTCTGTTTTTGAGCGGTGGCGGCCGGTGGAGCGACCGAATTTGAAAAGGTGCTTGAACGACGAGACGCCTTTGCAAATTTAGGCGAGTGGATTGCCATGTTGCTGTTACTTTGGTATGAGCGCGAGGGACTGTGGATATAGGAGATCGAGTTAAAAAAGTGAGCGAGCTTGCGAATTGGACAGGTCATCATAGGTTGATACACACACACACACTTACAAGGATCTCATAGAGGCGGTGGTACTATAAAATCCGTCTCTATCATGAAATTCTCCGGGCTCCAAGCACTTGAAGCATACATTCAATTTGCAAGCCCTCGCCCAATTGGCGTAAGTCGCCAGAGCGTCCTGACCGGTTCCAAAGAACAAGAATACGAAAAATCCTACCAACGGTTTTGCATAGTCGATAAACGACACGCCTAGATTGGCGCCGACAAATCGTTGAACGACCCAAAAATTTTCGTGAATTGTGTAGAAATCGTATGGCTCGATGTTCAAGGTGAGATTACTGAACAAGGTCATCACGGAGGTTGGGAAAGAGAGCAGGAGGAAGGTGATACAGAAGAATACCAGACGATAGAATTTTGCGGTGTTGAGGCCGTCGGTATATTGTAGGATGCTTTGGAGTTCCAAACGTTTCTTGATGATTGCATACGAGGTTCGAGCTATGTACAATATTTCGGGGGAGGGGAGGAGAGTGTGAGTGTTAAAGGAATTATTAAGATAGGTATGACGCAACGCGTGTTTGCACCACTTTATCACGTTAAAAAAATACGCACCCGCATAGTAGCACCCGATTCCTGAAATGATGGAAGGCCAGATGGCGTCTATCGCAATGAAAACCCAGTCTTTGTGAGCCGGCGAGAAACATCCGAGCACCGGTCTAATCCCATAGATGTTGGTCTGAACCAGGTAAAAAAGAGCAGTTCCTATGGCCGGGAACACTATCGAGACAAAGACGTCCCTAATCATTCGTCGGCGCTTGACCCGCTCCGTAAGAATCATGGGGCTGGCCACGTAGGTGTAAAGGGTATGTATCATGCAAGTGATCGACGACAAGATTCCATAATTCCCACCGACATATAGTGGAGCGGAAATTAGACAGTACACACGAGCCTTATCGTCCAGATCGTTTGCCCACAGCAGAGAGTTTATGAAGGTGATACCATTGATGGCGATGACCCAAAATGTCATAAATATGGCTCCCCAGTTACGAGTTTGGATGTGAAAGATTCCAGGTATAACGCACAGTATGACAGCGATCAAGGATGAAAGTGTAAACATATAGTCCGCCATCTCTATACAAGCATATATATGAGTATGTGCGATTCGGTTTATTTATGTATTGAGGTTGTCAGTGACTTTTTCTTCGCTAGGAATGAAAGCACCTGACCTCTGATGATAAAGCGTCGAAAGCGAGAAGACAAAAAGAGCCCGTTGGCGGTTGGGGGGGGGTATATCTATGAATGTAAAAATAATAGAATATTGTGTTTATATTGGAAAGATGTTGGAAGGGGGAAAAGAAGAAACGACTCTTCGAGTAACTCGGTCGAACGACGAATATGAGAAGAAGGATGAAGTGGAAAAGATTGATTTTTTTTTTTTTAAAAAAAAAAAAAAATCCCGCTGCAAATTATATATTTTACACAAGAACGTATATTTGAAACACTGTCTTCGATTTCAATCTTTGTATAGATGCGGGGAGAATACCAGACAAAGAGAAATTGATTCAAATATGCGGATGCGTTTTCTAGAGGGGCAACACAATGAGGGAATGAATTTTAAAATATATAATTCTCTGACATGAAAACAGAAAATGAGAGAGGCGACGTAGGTTTATATATATGCTTTATTTGAAAGAATGAATTTTTTTTTTTAGAATTGAGGTGTATAAATTATTGGAGTGCGCGCATATACTGTACATAAGAAGGGAATCTGCAAATCGCAAATCTCACATATAAAATTAATAATGAGGACTAGCGGATTTACCTTATTACAAGAATAGAGTAGTAGTAATACATGGGACAAATTAAATCTCGCAACACCAACCGATGCGCACGAACACAAAGGTCACTAATTACAAGGGTATGCCTTGGACGAGCGATCCGACCGTCGTAAACTCGACATAGCATTATGAGGAATCACCTAGTATGCCTCGTTTGTGTTATGCCGATGATTCGGTGTAAATAACATTGGTGATAGAATATTTAATATTACGCCTGATCTGTGTCACTCGCAAACAAGGAATTGATTACATCAGAAAAGAAAAAAGAATGAAAGAAAGGAAACGCCCCCTTCACGACATCACGACATGCGATAATCAACATTTGAGTGAGCGTAGGTGAACGAATGCTCCCATGCATCGGTGACTAGTCAGTCTGTGTGACTGTGGGTTTGAGGGTTGCGCAATAAACAAAGCAGTGCACATCAGACTATCCCGTGGGTGGAAAAACATCGTTCGCTGTTCTTTGTTTAAGTTGGAAAAGAAGGAAATCCTTGTTCGTCGGTCGAAGGCGTCGCAGTTGCGTGTTTAATGACGACTAATCGAATTAAATTCATTTACCCATAATAATAAATTCACATCATCCCAAGATATCATGCATTTCAGGTTCATTTTGTGCTCGGCGAGAAAGAGGAGAAGTTCATGCGAAAATATTCCAATGGATCATGCAGCGGAAATCTTGGTGGTCTTCATTCGAAGATGAATGAATTATTGGCATTTATTCAGGTATGTGCGCACGCATTAATCAACTCTCCACAAGCCATTGGATCATATACAGTAATCTTTTTATTGTTATACTGTGTATCACCATTTCCTGGGGTAATAATAGAACTTTAATTCGAGTTGCCAAACGCGAGGTAATAATTTGATTTCCTTTTAAGGGAATCCCCCGGAAGAGGCATGCCGGATTCATTAACGAGTTTGTTCAACTCGCATTATTGTTTCACCGGACCCTTCTTTTCTATAATGGTCCTTGGTGGAATGAGTGCGATCGCTTCAACTTCCAATCGAGAACTACCATGGTATGATTATTGACTGCTCAGTATGAAAAAGCCTTGTGCGTACGTACACATCCCATAGCGAATGGATGTCCAGAGGTTATCATCTATCTTGTTTTGCAAATTTAGTAAGATCCTACCATATGGTGATAACCGGCGGTCAATTTGATTTAATCTCGCTCGTGCAACGGTGAAATTCCCAAAATAGGATGACAGCTATTGTTTACGTACTGTATATTACACATTATAGGTACCGTAATGTGCACACTCATTTTATGGAATTCCATCTTAAATTCTTTCCTTTTTCACTTTCATTAAGATGATGTTGATTACTTGTGTAAATGAAGAAAGTGTGCACATACGTACACGTAACGTGCTAAAACGACATGCGTCTGAAAGTGGTTCGTGAAGATCGAGAATGCCAGTTTCAGATTTCAAGAACTCTTCACGTATGTAGATTATAAAAACTAATGTGCACACACCGAATAATTGTTTTGTGGGAACCTCCCTTAAGAGCAAATTTCACATAGAGAGAATCAGATCATTTGTCATTATTATTATTATTCCTTTTTTTCAATGGGATATATTGAACTTGGCAATGAAGGTTCACTACAATTTGCATGGATGCTACATACTGTATATTTTTTAAGTTTTCCCGGCACGTCAATTGTCCTCGATGAAATAAATGGCTGCTATCTCCATGTGATGAAAAGTCGTGCACCAAATTCTCTTCTAGTTCACCGGAATAGGAAGCAAGCTTCTCCGAATTCCTTCCAATCTATCGACACTTTTGCTCGATCTGACCGAGAAGCAAAATCTCTCACGTGACAATTACGAGCGTTTTCCCTTTCTTTTCCTTTTTCGTCTCGATTGTTCAACTTGTAAATTTGGTAATTTGAATTAGTTAGTTTAATTGGTGATGAACCATGGTCGTAGATTAAGGTCACACGAGATTTTGCAGTTTTTCATTGATTTCTCTGAAAGAAGCAATAATGTGGTTGGTTACATTATGCGATCACAATAACCCTTGTTCATTGATTATACGTGTAATGCCTATTGTTATAAAAACAATCTTCGATTTCTGTGATTAATCGAAGATAAACATGGGTACTGGTAAAAAAAAAAAAAAAATGAAAAATGAAAATAAATAAATAGAAAAATGAAAATAAATAAATAGAAAAATGAAAATAAATAAATAGAAAAATGAAAATAAAATAGAAAAAAAAAAAATAAAAATAAAAATAAATAAATAACTAGAAAAATTAAAATAAATAAAAGAATGAAAATAAATGGAAAATAAATTTTAATTCGATATGATACAAACATATTGTATAATAATACTCTGATGTTGTTGAAATTTTTTTCTAGTTTACTTTTTCTGATTTCATTTTTGATGACGTGATGTTAATTTTTGCATGAATCTGGTGAAGATTGCGGCGGTTTATGTTTTTTCATGACTAATTCCGATTCTCAAAAAACGGCAACGACTGGTGATCTTGAATCTCTCGTTTATTTTTTTTGTTAGGGTGAAAAGTCAATTTAGTGGTATCGCATTTGTGACGTGCTTAGTAAGAATGTATCACTACTGGTATATATACATAATGAACGTCGGACAAAGAATTTAATAGTGGATCTTGATTTTTAGTGTAGGTGCCTGGTAAGAAAATCACGATAAGTTCGCTAACCGTAGGTGAAAACGATCTGTCGATTAGATGCATTTAATGTATCTTGATGATCCGTGATGATTTCTTACAAGCGAAGCGAACATTAATATTATTAATGAATTTGACCCTCAACAGGAATTATTAAAGTGTAATCAAACACGGGAACCTTTCGAACAAAGAATGAACGTTATAATGGAACCTCGCGGTCGTTAAAGAAAATCCAAAATCTTCCGATTTCGGTAATCGAGATTTATAATCAAATATGACAACCAAAGATTGACAAAGAAAATTGAGACAACGAAATCGAGTTCATTGTTCCTTGAACAGTCAAATCACGATGATTAAAGGTTTACCAATTTGGTTTCAAAAACAATATTTCCTATTCTCTTATGTGAACTCGAGAGTCAGGGTGCCTTTTATTCAATGCGACGCGCATCGGCGTTCCTAAACCGAATATGACCAAATCCAAAAGGATAATATTCATAATGATCGGTTAATTGCCACACTGTATTGCGCATAAGCATACAGTAAATGTGGTCAAGTGCTTCCCATTCTCTTGCCATTCTCCGTCATCTTGCCTGCATGACTACATGAATCGTTTTCCCACTTAAGCGGTAGTAAGAAGACACTCAGACCCTTTGACCGCCCGGGAAATCCGATTGATGTCACCTTTAGCTAATTAATGTGGTATTACTTATGACATCACTTTCTTGTAATTATGCGTGGATATAAAAGCTGTGATTTCTTGTTTCGGTGAGAAATCCTTGTTCTTCTGACAAAACAAATAATTTATAATGAACTCAAAAAAAATATGCATATTTGCGCATTTTACAATTTCCAGATAGTGAAATAGATTTCGATATTTTTTTCAATATATTATTATTCATCATATTTCTTTATTATACTATATGTTATATTATATCCTAATAATTATAAAACTGGTTATTCATAATGTCGTTGAGAAAATGATATTCGTACGTACTTTATTGGTAATATATACTGTATATACAGTATATATACAATATATTATTTAAATAATTTGAACATTTCCTCGTAATGTTTAAAAAGTTGCGATTTGATGTAAATATAAGATACATTATTTCAATAAATACGATATACAGTACATACATACTGTATATAATATACTGTAAATTGCGGGTTGAAGATGGGACCGCTTTGGCGATTTTAAACTTAATTGAGGACATAAAGACAAATAATTTTAAAATCTCTGGTATGCTATAAAATCAACAACCTCACAGTATATATTATTAAAACCTTCGACTTATTTTATTTAACAACTTCTTATTAATATTATCTTTAAACAAACATACTGTATGTATAGTAAAAATTTTTGTAAAATAGGACATAACTCGGAATTAACTAAGGATTCCAATAATTCAATCTGAATTCTTCGGCTTACTATTAAACTTAATATATAAATTATGACTACCATAGCAACCTGTATATTTTTATGATCTTAGAGACATCGGTCATGCCACAGGATATAATATAAATACAATATTATTTATCAAAAATGTAAAAATTTTTAAAATTCAAAAATGACGATGGTAATTAAAAAAAATCTCAATAAAATCTATTTTTTAAAAAATTATCTTAAATACAATATATTTA